ATTGCACTAAATGTTGAAAAAGTGGCAAGTACAAAAATGTTTCGTAACTTTACAAACGGCGCCCCATAACATAGGTCTGTAAGTTTGTAAGGTAAATGGGAAGATGATTGCCCGCTTTTAATAACGAATTTGCCCGCTCTTCATAACGAATTTGCCCACTCTTAATAACGAATTTGCACGGAAACATACATACACGTTCCCACTGACTGATCCGTAGTTAATCCATGCTATTTCCATCATTTCTTTTAGAAATTCTTTAAAATTGGATTTAAAAATATAGTTTTAGTCGAAAACATTTTCAAATCTTCAAACGTGTTACGTTATTTCACCAGTGATTTTTTTTTTTGTTATTTTTGTACGCATTATAGATATTTAAAACTTCTCATTATCAGTCATTATCAGTGTAGGTGGCAATAAAGCAAGATTGTGATTATAAAATCGACTCGTGCGAAAATAGTGCAGTCTAATAAACCGAAGTGAGGTTAAGTATCCATATCCAGTTACCTGAAGAAACGCCCATTTTCCTCCCGAAGACTAATTTTGCGTTTGTTAATCGCAAGGTCTCATATAGGTAGGTATCTGCCATCGCAGCACACGCAATGGTAGGAAAATACAGACCACTGGGTTTGAAGAAATACGTTACAAGAGACTAAAACTATCTTCTGCCTTCGTTTGAAAGTCCAAAACTAAAGCGTTTTGTCTGAACTTGAAGCACCTTGCAGTATACTATCTTAGACGCTTGTGTTGAAGAGGTAGACGTCTGCATAAGTATTTTGGATATTTAACTGAAATGGGAAGAAGACAGGATGACGAAAATTTTAGTTTTGTTAGCCCGTGCATCAAATATTTACTTTTCTTTTTTAACTTTATATTCTGGGTAAGTTAACGTCACATTATTTTTTTCCATCATTTTTATTGACAATAAATTACAAATGACATATTTATTAACGGTGCAATGTCTATTGAGGATATTGACTGGATGTTTTCATTTGGGAAATTCGTCCATAAATTCTTACATTAAAATGTCATTACCTTATTTCAGCGCCGAAAACCGGAGGTATGAAGGGTTCCTAAAGTTCTTATTGCTGCGGGTTCATTTCCTTATTACGGAGGACACAGAGTACAGGCTTCCAGTTTAGTTTACGGTGTATGACAATAAAAGCAGTGTGAGATATAGGTGATTTGTGTTTTTACCCATTTATGCAGAAATTACTAACCCTAAAGAGTAGGAGTGTCCCCTCTGTCACTTGCTGCGTGTTTCCTTCCACGATATTTTGATTTCATTTTTTCCTATTTGATTTCCTATTTTGATTTGAATGTTGATTTCCTCATCAGATACAAGAGAAATATGTGACCCGAGGGCTTTTCTTTCGTAATGATGGGACTCGGGAGGTCTATGCCGTGTTTTTGCTTGCAGACACTGTGTGCTCGAAGCAGGCAGTTCATTGACGGCATTCTTTTATGACCGTATATGATTCCCTTGGAGATATGCCTGTCTGGACAATGCGAAGGCGGGGGCCTACTTCAGAAAGCATGCAAGCAAGTGTGGGCATTTTCTGAATGAGCAACTAAAACTTAAACCGATCTCATTCCCCTGCATTCCTCCCATAGGCGTCTTTGACGTTCGCTTTTTGTATAAAGCTGATCTATACTTACGGATAGCGAAAATGAATTCTGACATTGTGATTGACAGTCAGTTACTCAGACAGAAAAATTGGTATACAATGACCAAGGCTGCAGAAATTAGTGAGTGTGTGTGTGTGCGCGCATGTGTGTTTGTGGATTAGGTTTATATTATATTGTGGGGACCAAATGTCCCCACAATATAATAAAAACATGTCTTTTTACGTTGTGGGGACCATTTTTCAGGTCCCACAAAGACCTGTGAATGCAATCAAAAAAGTAAAAATGCCAGAAGTCTTGTATTTTGTCTGGTTGCTTATGGTTAATATTAGGGCTGGTTTCCCATAGAAATGAATGGAGAGTCCCCACAAAGGTATAATTACAAACCTGTGTGTGCGTTTGTGCGTGCGCATGTGTACCAATTAACTAGACTTATTTTCCTGTGTGCAGGCAGGATCACCTTCAGGGGGCTGTTTTTCTACATGCAGAATGACATACATGACATGCTGCTACATGTTCCCAGGGCGAACATTCCTCAAAGGAACAAATAATGATATTAGCTTGAGTGCCATCAGCCACTAGAGGCAGCACCGAGCTCTCACATCTCCAGGACGGTGGGTGTGTCCCACCCTGGCTCTGGGGGAGTGAAGTTCTCCCAATGCTCTTGTCAGTTTCCTTTGGTACTGTGGTTTCCTTCCACTGCCCAAACACTTTGGGTCATTTAAGTAAGCTGGAGTCTCTAAATTGCCCACAGGGTGTGATGGTGCGGCCTTGTGATGGACTGGCATGTCATCAAGGGTGTTCCCTTCTACCCTGTGGTTCCTGGGATAGACTCCAGTCTCATCATGACCCTTCACTGGATAAGCAGTTCTGATCAATGGATGGACCATTACCCCTTCACTGCAGAGTGAAGGCTGACTTTATGCGTCTTATATAATCAGATAAAATTATAGCTGTTTTTCTTGTACAGGTGATTTCAATGGTATTGATGTCTGTAGGGGTGTATGCAAGGATCGAGAAACATGCTGGTAGGTTCATGGGCTGTTTTTTTTTTTCTTTTGTAAAATCAATGTAAATACTGGCGGAAAAGATATGTAGGAGGAGAATTGGAAAATAGCTGACAACGAGGAGTGACAAATGGCTCCCACCCTGCTCTCTGCCCTGCATCTCTGCCCTGTTTGTCTGCCCTGCATCTCTGCCCTGTTTGTCTGCCCTGCATCTCTGCCCTGTTTGTCTGCCCTGCGTCTCTGCCCTGCATCTCTGTCCAACATTTCTGCCCTGTTCGTCTGCCCTGCATCTCTGCTCTGTTTGTCTGCCCTGCATCTCTGCCCTGTTTGTCTGCCCTGGGTCTCTGACCTGTTCATCTGCCCTGCGTCTCTGCCCTGTTTGTCTGCCCTTCGTCTCTGCCTTGGGTCTCTGCCCTGCTTCTCTGCCCTGTGTCTCTGCCTTGGGTCTCTGCCCTGTGTCTCTGCCCTGCTTCTCTGCCCTGCATCACTGCTCTGTTTGTCTGCCCTTCATCTCTGCTCTGTTTGTTTGCCCTGCATCTCTGCCCTGTTTGTCTGCCCTGCATCTCTGCTCTGTTCATCTGCCCTGCGTCTCTGCTCTGTTCGTCTGCCCTGCGTCTCTGCCCTGTTCGTCTGCCCTGCATCTCTGCTCTGTTTGTCTGCCCTGCATCTCTGCCCTGTTTGTCTGCCCTTTGTCTCTGCCTTGGGTCTCTGTCCTGCGTCTCTGCCCTGCTTCTCTGCCCTGCATCTCTGCCCTGTTCGTCTGCCCTGCATCTCTGCTCTGTTTGTCTGTCCTGCATCTCTGCCCTGTTTGTCTGCCCTGGGTCTCTGCCCTGTTCGTCTGCCCTGCATCTCTGCCCTGTTCGTCTGCCCTGCATCTCTGCTCTGTTTGTCTGCCCTGCGTCTCTGCTCTGTTTGTCTGCCCTGCGTCTCTGCCCTGTTTGTCTGCCCTTCGTCTCTGCCTTGGGTCTCTGCCCTACTTCTCTGCCCTGTGTCTCTGCCTTGGGTCTCTGCCCTGCTTCTCTGCCCTGCATCTCTGCTCTGTTTGTCTGCCCTGCATCTCTGCCCTGTTTGTCTGCCCTGCATCTCTGCCCTGTTTGTCTGCCCTGCGTCTCTGCCCTGCGTCTCTGCCCTGTTTGTCTGCCCTTCTTCTCTGCCCTGCTTCTCTGCCCTGCTTCTCTGCCCTGCGTCTCTGCCCTGCGTCTCTGCCCTGTTTGTCTGCCCTGCGTCTCTGCCCTGCTTGTCTGCCCTGCGTCTCTGCCCTGCTTTTCTGCCCTGCGTCACTGCCCTGCGTCACTGCCCTGCGTCTCTGCCCTGCATCTCTGCCCTGCTTTTCTGCCCTCCGCATCTGCCCTGCATCACTGCCCTGTGTCTCTGCCCTGCTTCTCTGCCCTGTGTCTCTGCAGAGGCGGCGTTGGCCTACCTGTCATTGGATCCAGCCATCCTGCTGCTGGTTGTTGGCGTGCTCATGTTCTTCCTCACCTTCTGTGGCTGTGTTGGCTCCCTGCGTGAAAACATCTGCCTGTTGCAAACGGTAGGTTGACTCAGGGTGTCCCAGGACACTGCTGTTGTTCCACTGAGGAATGCAGTTCGAAGCAGTAGCTTCTTTACCAATTAATTTGTAGTAGATATTATCCAAATTGTAAGTCTTTGATCATGTTGAAGTTCCAACCGATGAGTGTGGATCAGGTCATTACATCTGCTTGCCTCTGTCTTCCCAAAAGTTCTGCATCTCTTTGATTGTGGTGTTCCTGCTGCAGCTGGCCACTGGGGTCCTGGGCTTCATCTTCTCCAATAAGGTAAGCTGTACTTGATGGGCAGGTTTGCCCCGAAACCCCATAAGCACAGTCAGAAGTGTGATGCATTGGACACATGATGACAAGAGGATCATCTGGAGCAAAATTTAGTTACATTTTGTCACCATTATACACACAATGTGACACCAGCCAAAGGGGCTTAGTTCTGTAGAGTTTTTCAGCTTTACAACTGTAGTAAAGTTGGCCTGAGAGATCTTTAGGACACGTCTTGCTGGAACACTCCATATTTTATCATCTAGCCAATGATTAGGTAGATCAGGTAAATCACCATTTCTTACCTGTACAGGCTCGAGCTAAAGTGACTGGGATGGTGAACGACGCTATTGTTCACTACAGGGATGACCTGGACTTACAAAACCTCATCGATTTTGGGCAGAAAGAGGTGAGGCACCGATGTGTGGCTTCCGTGCTTCATGCAGGTTAGGGACAGCTTATGGTAATGTGTGCATTTGATCTGTGTCAGCACCGCTGATTTCCTGTGGCTGTTGAGGTTATGCTGAGAGGCGCTATGTGGGCGGGGGGGCTGGTGGAACCGCTGGTTAGTGTGGGTGACAGTCACAGCCAGGACTCCTCATGCAGCGAGGAGAAAAGCGAAGTGAGCCGAAGGGCACATTTCTAACTGTCTGGTTACAACTGCCAGACAGTCCACTAATTTAAGAGCAAATCTTTCTTAAATCCAAGGCCAGATTAAATGAATGTGATTAGTTGTCAATGTTGACACACCACAACACAACAATGACATGTGGCCTCTACATTTAACCCATATGTGACATAGCACTGGCTGCTATTATGTAACACCCAGGGAGCAGTGCGTGTAGGGGGTACCTTTGTGGTCAAACCAACAATCGTTGCGTTACAAGCGCACTCCCATAACCATCAGGCACCACCTCAGATTGTTAAGCAGCCTTGGCCGGCAGCACATGTGACGTTACGTCAGAAAAAAAAACGAACCGGTGGTGCAAGAAATTCAGAAATGGGCTTTTCAGTGAGTGTGGTATGAAACTGACAATATACAGTCATGTTTAATATATCTGATATTACACGGCATTAACTTGTTAACAGACATTCGCAAATGGGACGGGGGGGGGGGGGCGGTGTTATGGGGGGTTGCTCTGTTTAATTTCCCCTCTGGATGTGGTGCTCAAATGCCTATATTGTTAACTTGGGGTTGGCTTAAAGCACTGATAGTCATAATAGGCATTATAGTTTGATTATAGTACTTCTTAAGCTCAAAAGACTCCAATGCAGCTGCTCCTGTTTGCTTCACTTTCAGTGGTTGTTGGGGTGTCACACCTGCGTGTGTATGTATCTGTATGTGTGTGCGTGTGGGTCTGTTTGTGTGCGTATGTATGTGCACCTGTGTGTGTGTGTGTGTGTGTGTGCACCTGTGTGTGTGTGTGTGTGTGTGTGCACCTGTGTGTGTATCTGTATGTGTGTGCGTGTGGGTCTGTTTGTGTGCGTATGTATGTGCACCTGTGTGTGTGTCTGTATGTGTGTGTGTGTGTGTGTGGGTTTGCATAGATCACATTTGAGGACCAAATTGTCCCCAAAGTGTAGTAAAACCTAAAATTTCCCTACTTTTGGGGACATCTTTTGAGGTCACCATTTGGATAACCTCAGTTTTATAAAAATCTGTGAATGCAATCAAAAAAGTAAAAACGCCAAAAGTCTTGTATTTTGGTTGGTTACCTATGGTTAAGGTTAGGAATCGGTAGAGGTTAAGGGTGTCGTGATTGGGATTAGGGTTTTTCCCATATAAATGAATGGATGGTCCCCATTTAGGTAGGAAGACCAACTTGTGTGCACCTGTGTGTGTGCGTGTGTGTGTGTGTGTCTGTGTGCGTGTCTCATTCTATTGCTTTCCACCAAATTCATTATAGGACCTGCCATCTACTGCTTATAAAATCCAGTCATAGCCACTAGGGGGCTCCCAGTCACAATCAGTGTATGACTCAGTCAGTCAAAAACTGGAGTGGCAAGAATGAATTGTGCTGAGTTGGCATGCTGCCTCATTATTAATGGGTATCAAAAAGATGAACCATGACCTGCCACAAACCTGAGTCTGCATCATTCAGTTCAGCTGCTGTGGAGCGATCTCCCACAAAGACTGGACCCAGAACATCTACTTCAACTGCAGCACGCTCAACCCCAGCCAAGAGCGATGCTCTGTGCCTTACTCCTGCTGCCTAGTGTCCAAAAACGAGGTGAGCTGTCTCTCATCCCGCTGTTGAGTATGATGCTGACAAACTGGTGGTCACTGTGTTTCCTGACTCTCTTAAAGAGCATCATAAACACCAAATGTGGCCACGGGATGCAGGATATGAAAGAGAGTGAAGTCAGCATTTTCATCAACACCAGCGGCTGCATTGACAAGCTTGTCGACTGGATCCACAGCAACCTTTTTCTGCTGGGTGGTGTAGTGCTGGGCCTTGCTATTCCTCAGGTGCGTTCCAGGTGTGTTCCAGGTGCGTTCCAGGTGTGTTCCAGGTGCGTTCCAGGTGTGTTCCAGGTGTGTTCCTGTCAGTCCTGTGCACCTTTACAGTTAACCTCATGTCTGCCCAACACCTGTAATCTGTCTGACCTGGAAACACACTCTCATTGGCTTGATCGGGTCTATTAATAATTATGTGACTTCTTCATGCTGGGTTAACGTAAGCAATTCTGTGTTTTGAGAGACCAAGATTACATTACAGTTTTCTCATTTAGCCTGGGCTTTTATCCAAAGGGACGTACAATTGAAAGCAGGGTCAGACAAGAGGGGACTACGGGCCTGATGGTGACATCACTCTGCCGGCTCTGGGATTTGAGCTGGCAACCTCTGGATAAGAAGCAGTGTCCAAACCCACTGAGCCGCACACATACCCGACACTCTTTCTTCTTTGCCTGTTCTAGCTGGTGGGGATGCTTCTGTCCCAGACACTAATCAACCAGATCAAGGACCAGATTGAGCTACAGGAGAATCATTCCCGCCATCAGTGAGCGATGTGGGGTGTCGCCATGACTACGACCCTTGGCTGCCCGTCTCTCCGTCTGCCAGACACTTTGTATAAATGTGCCCAAGCACCGGGGGCCATAATACTTCCTTTAATACTAAAAGCATTTATATTGGGCTCTGTGTCCTGAAATGCCAAATCACTGTACAGTGTTTATAACATTGTGTCACCCAACTGTTTCATGTGTGGCAGCTGTTCTGCCTCCAAAAGCTTTTTTTTTAAAATTAAGCAGTTGCTTCGAAAAAAGACACTGGCTTTGCTTCTTCAGTGGAGCATTTCTGGCAATTCAAGGTAGTCATTTGTTTTAAAAATTAAAGTTTCAGATCATTTAAGAATTTATAACGATGCTTTTATAGTAAAAAAAAAAGGTAATTTTCTGATGATACATACGTCCATCTACAAGACAAGGGACAGCCTGGGCCGGTGTCGCCTTCTGAATAGACTAAAGATGACGTCATAATGCCGAGGTCGTAAAATTTCCCCAGATGAATATCTATTCCTGTCTTATTTGGTTTTGTGAAATTTCAGTTTTAACATACTTATATATGTAGATATAATGCATACTGTAGTCAGTGTGCATGTCATTTTAATAAAAACAGTGATGATGGCTCTTTTAAAAAGGGAAATCAGATTTACTGACACTCACAATGGTTCACAAAACAGCGGCACAGACATGGAACCCAATAGTTGACACTAGCATTCAGAGTTACATGTTAACACATGCATTCCACAGCAAACATAAAAAGATCATGGCATTTACTATGTATGACATAAATACATGAATACACATATTCCAGTACATAAGTACATGGTTACACATATTCCAGTACATAAGTACATGGTTACACATATTCCAGTACACTATTTACAGATCATGCAAAGTATGCCAGTAAAAGCATCACAATACCATGTTTTCCTTCTTTTTCTTTTGAATATTTCATGAGGTTCTGTTTTTTGAGACAGGACACACTTAAACATGGAAATTATGCTCAATTAAGGCCCTTGTGCTTTGACTGCATTGTGTGGTTTCAGCAATGCTGAAAATATGGGGTTTGCTTCCTCTGAGAAAGATTTTCCTTGTTGTTCCTATCTGGAAAGGGAAGGGTGATCACCTGGACTGTGGCAGCTACTGAGAATGAACACTGCTTTTGCTAGGGTCAGGTCCTTGCTAAGGTCATCCTCAAAAGGGTCTGTGATCATTTGCTCGCCTACCAGCAACCAGAGTGGTCTGGTTTTATGCCTAAGAAGTCTACCATCGTGGCATCCTGGCACTGAGGTTTCTCAACAACGGCAAATGTGAGTTTTTTTGCAATGTTTGTAAAGTGCTCAACTCAGTTGATCGAGCTGCCCTGTGGGACATCCTGAGACTTCGCGGGATCCCCCCAACATTGCTGGTCATAATGGCCGGCCCTTACCCTGGTACTGTGAGTGCTGTGCAGAGTGGAGGGAGAACCTCTGCGTTGATTCTGGGGTTCGCCTGGGGTGTGTCTTTTTTCCTACTCCAGGGGTGCCCAACTTCAGTCCTGGTGGGCCAGAGCCCTGCACATTTTTGGGTTTCCCCTCATTTAACACACCTGATTCAACTCCTTATGCTAATTACCACACAGCTCTTGAGCTGAATCATTTATGGTGGAACAGGGAAAGAACTAAGCTACACAGGGCTCCGGCCCCCCAGGACTGGAGTTGGGCACCCCTGTCCTACTCTGTTCAATGCTGTAATCCATGGACTGGGTGTTGGGCAGGGTCGTGGGGTCTAGTGGCTGTGGGGCATCTGTTGGTGAGGATAGGTTTACCAATCTTGACTATGCTGATGCTGTGGTCTTCATGGAGCCAATGGAGGCTCTTCCTATGAAGTCAGTAGATGGATTGAGAGAGCATGGGGGGTCATGAGGTCGCTGGAAAGGGGTGTGTGGCTCCCGATATCTTTGCAAGAGGACAAAGGTCCAAGTCTTTAGAGTCCTGGTGCTCCCTGTCTTGCTGTATGGCTCTGAGACATGAATGCTATCCAGTGCCCTGAGACGAAGACTGGACTCTTTCAGTACTGTGTCTTTTCGGAGAATCCTTGGGTACTGCTGGTTTGATTTTGTGTTGAACAAGCAGTTGCTCAGGGAGTCCAGAATGAGGCACATTACCTGCATTTGTGAGGGAGCGTCAAATACCGCACTACGGGCGTGTGGCGCATTTTCCTGAGGGCGATCCGACTGGCAGCAGCTAGACCAGGCCAAGGGGACGCCCCCGTAACACCTGGCTGCAGCAGATACTTTGCAGGTCAATTGTAAGGCTGCTTATTTTTGATAAAGCAATAACTGATAACGAGTTTACAGTGCTTTGAGAATTTAACTAACAAAATATGCTTTGAGTAAACCAAGACAACAGTGTACATTAACTGCAATCAGGCCTACTACAGAGTCAAATAATTAATATCAACCAGCAGCATTGTTGCTCCAGGTAGAAGTTTTTGCAGGTCAAATCACCTGCCATGTTTTTATCACCCTTTTTTAAGTAAATTTCTCTCGCGCGCAGTAAAACTCGATCTCTCTCGTGCGTGCATCCCCGTTTCTGTCGCTCATCGCCGTTTCTGTCGGGTTTGGCGAACATTTGATTAGATAATTACGGAAAATGCCAGCATCCTGAAAAACAGATTTAGGGAGATTCGATGGAACCGAATTATTATTATTATTTTATTATTATTATTAATATTATTATATTGGTGGTAGTTAATGTAGTTTATTGCCTCGGGTCCGGCTGCGTCGTGACGTCACGGACACGCCCTCTCGCTCGCGCGGCTCTTCACGCCGCTTTACAGCGCTGTGGTGCGCAGTTCAACTCTTACAAGATGCAGGGTTGACGGTCTCTCTCCGGATAAGCCGATGGTGCGTCTCTTTTATCTTTGTCCATTGTAGCCATGTCGACAGACGTGGAAAGCCGCAGACGTAGGTCCACAGTCGACAGTCAAGGTGAGATTCCTTTGCATAAATCCCATCGATGGTGCCTTTGCGGTCGCAATAAAAATGTGAATTTTCATTTTAATGTGCGGAGCAAAAATGCTGACATGTCGGTTCACATTGTCCAAAAGTTTGGTAATTTCAGTGTAGATGATATCCAAATGGTTTATGTGAGGAACACCTCGCATTTATTTTCGAAACCTAAATTGTAGTTGACTACAATAGAAAATTCGTGCCGAGTTGTTGAACATCCTTATCAAAATATCAGTTTTATTTATTATAAAGATCTTGTCTTTCATTTTTTTGGTGCATTTCGTAGTACAAATAAATATCTTCATGGTGAATGCATGGACATTAGCAGATGGTTCCTCGCTTTTAAGTTTCTTGATGTTACATGTTATAACAAACGAAAGACTTACAAATTTTCTTATGAAACGATAAAAATCATCGTACTTCACTTACAGAAAATATTCAGCGGCGTAATCAAGTTCCGTATTATCAAATCCTGGTATCGAAACAGTGAAGCTGAAACCCAAACCCGCTGCCTGGTGAAACTAACGGCATGTTTTTTTGTTTGTTTTTTTTTTGGTCTGTGTTGTTTGGTAAATGCTGCATTGTTATAATTCTCTGCGTATCACTTTGCTCATTGCCCAGCGCTGCAGATTTTTATACAGGCGGCACATGAATTTAGCTTAAACTTGATCCATTGAGGCTGTTTGTTTTGCATACGTTTTTAATGTTTATATTATTATTTTTAACAGGTTATATCGCGCTTTTAAAACGACTCTCTCTCCTGTAATGAGGCCTAATCTAAATGCAGTGTGTATTCACCTAGGCCTTCGTCATAGTTTCTTGCAGCCGTAGTTTCTATATGTTATGTTTCGTTAGCTTGGCTTGTTGAAATGGCTGAGATGGATAATTATGGGGGACAGACCAAACGGGGATCTAGGCGGCATAATAATGGTGTTACAAAGGAATGCCTTCGTTTTATAACCGTGAATACAACTCGATTGTTGCATACACTTAATATAAAGAGAATAAGTGGCGGATTTGATTCCTGTTTCCTTTCTTCGTACCCTCTCCGCGTGTTCACATGGGTATTCTGCTTTCCCACCTCAGATCAGAAACATGCTTTAAGTAAACATTGTTTTTGATGATGCACTGGCCCCATGCTGTCTTCATTTATATTTGTATCTTTCTGTAAGAATTGTTATCGATGTAGCTGTCAAGGTCCCCATTTTTGGCACGTGCTTAAGTGCCATCAACTCACTAGTTGATTACGCTAATTTAACGAGCGGGAAGAAACAAATGCTTTTCAGTATTAAAACAGAATCACGCAGACTTGGGGTTGGATTAGTGACTAATCACAAGACACCAATCATGTGCTGACGGCCTGGAGTGCCGTCCTGTGACCTTTCACACACCTGGCCAGACCAGCTCTTCAGGTTAAATTTAATGCTTCATTGCTAAAGTTTCTCCTGGCACCTACATGAAATGTCCCCCGTGCCTTGTGTATCAGGGTGTGCGGTCCGTCCTCGTGTCAGCCCACCGAACCCGGCAGGGAAAAGTCCCCCGTACCATCCTGGCTATATTCTGTTTCCCCTGGAGTGACTCTTCATCGGACTCCGTCTCCCTTACCTCCACTTTGATTTGCTCTTTGTGTATGTATATTAACATCCCCTTCTGATGGAGTTCGGTTCCATTTTTATTTTCGATCCCCTCCCCAGAGGCCCTGTGGGATCATGACCCTCGAGGTCACCGCCGTGGTTCACTGTGCGACCGGCTCTGCGCTGCCAGCCTGCAGCCCGAGCTGGCAGAGACCCCGTCGCCAACCTTCACCCACCAACACAGTCACGCCACCCCTGGCTGCCTGTCCAGACAGAGAAGTGAGCGTCTTTCCGTTCCGCTTCACTGTGATTCTCTTTGTTGTGGCCCCTGCACCCGTCTCTCTGACTTCTGTCTCCAAGTATAACTTCACTTCCCTTTTGGTTTCGGGTTGGACCGTCATGACTGTAACTTAACCTGAGGCAGAGACTTTATGTAAAGCCTGTGTGTAAAGTAATGTTACTCACTTTACACTGATTTCCTGAGGAGCAGAAACATATCTTTATAGTAGTAATTTGATTAAAAATGGAATGTTACACTAACCCTTTTCTCTTATTCCGCAAATTAAAACGGAACTAATTGTCATGTCAGAGGCTACACTCCGCAAAGCCAGGGCGACTGTCCTCCTTTGCACCACTCTGCTTTGTAACCTTGGTGTTACATTTGACCCAACCCTCTCGTTTGATGCACCCATATATTCCATGGTAAAAACAGCTCTCGTCCTTCTTCACAACATCACCCAGCTTAGGCCCTGCCCCTCTAACTCTGCCTCTGAGTCCCTTATTCATGCCTTTATCTCTAGCCGTCTTGACTCCTGCAACTCGCTGGTACGCGTATTGCTGCTAAATCTTTCCATAAACTCCAGATAGTCCTGAACTCTGCCGCCTGCCTCCTCACCCTCACTCACTCCTACCAGCACATTATGCCCATACCCTATAAAAGAACGCATCCACTTTAAAATATTACGTCTAACATTCAAAGCTTTTAACGACCAAGCCCCATCGTATATCTCCTCTGGGTCCCTCTTCATCCCCCCCTTCTTTGGATTGAACCAAAAAAGTTGATTAGAA